AATCCCTTCTTTGAGAGCAGAGTCATTTCACAGTATAGGCGTAAACTACACTGGCTTTTTTTTGTGTGCCTTGAATGCCAAATGAATGTCTGTATTTACAAAGGACCACGAAACAAACTCTGTGAGTGGAACTCTACTGTTAGCAAACTACCATTGCCAAGTGCACAGAGCCTCAAAAGGTCTGTTATTGAGGTCCAGCACAGGATAGCTGCTGTGAAGAGCTATCGTCATTTGATGTCTCTTAACAGGTTTTAAGCTCTGTAGTAAACATGGTGACTACTTTAAAACTAGGGCAGTGGTGAGGCGTCAAATGTAGGCTCCTCTTGGGCAGTAACAACGTTTCTGACTGTGTTAGCTGGATCTGAGAGGTAGGACAGCTGTTCAGTGTGCTTCCGAGGTAGTCCACCATCTCCTAGTATGCCACCCTGTCTTCATTCCTTTGTAATTCTGACTCATCTTTGACCTCTTCAGCCAGAACCTTGTAAACTGTCTTTTAGAAAAATCCAGCCAAAGTAGTCATATAATTTTAGAATGCAAAACAAGGAAAGCCCACTGTATTATCCCTGTTAAAAATATTCTGGAATTTCTTCTGAGAAGCCCTAGCATGTTTATGGCTAAGGGGAAAAAATTGGAATTTGGAAATGCATTTTCTGCGTTGGGAATGCTCTTTTATGACCTGAAAGAACACATGACCATGTTGTAACCCTCCTAAAGATCACACTAATGTAATGAAGTCTCTTTTATTAGCAGAAACCTGATTATGGTCCAATTCCTCCTGTGCATGTCTGGACTTTCAGTGCGCATCCCTTACCAAATAACCAAAGGTATCCCACCACCCTCCAGCTCCCATGTTCCACTGGGAGCACATATCCTGCTGTCTGAGCAGGCTCATGATCAGAGGCCATGAGGGCAAAGGCAGACTTTTCCCACAATACCTGCTTAGCCAGGAGATTGGAGGTTGGGAAAAGACACTGGGATAAGGTGGTATAAAGGCAGAGTGAGAAGGAAGCCTCACTTCTCTGCTCTGGTTGGTTTTCCTGACAAGAGGTGGGCAGAGAGCCAGAGAAAGATGGTGTGGCTGCTGAGGGAGAGCATAACCAGCCAGGAGAAAAGCTGGGAAGAAGAGACTGGAGAAAGCCACAAGAGCAGAGACTGAACCAGGATGTGGATGGAGGAAGGACTTGCCATACCAGGAGACTGTCTATGGAAGCTCACATGGGTGAGGTGAGGTCTGGAATTATCTGGACAAAGAGGAGGGAAGATGAAGTATTGCTGGAGACTGTGGGGACCAGGACAAAGAAAACTGAAAGAACTTGGGGTATGGAAAGTGAAGGAGGAGTGAATAGATGGATGGTGACAGAAACAGTGAGAGCAGAAACAGCCAAGGAGAGCACAGGGCATTTGATGTTGGATGGAAAGCAAGAGCTGGATGTTGGTTTCAGCAGATGAAAAAGAATGAGGCTTGCATGGGGAAACAGAGGTGAAAGTAGATAGAGGGAAGAGAAAATAGGCATCAGAAGCAAGAACTCTGACATATGATTGCGTAATCTTAGCTCTGACTTTAACGTGGGAGCAAAGGGTGAAACCTGCCTTCTGGTACTTCCAAACTCTTGGAGTGTCTTAACTATAATGCTATCCATTTTAGGCATGTTTAGGTGTGCATGTGTATCATGTAGAATATCAAGTAGGCAGACATACATGAATATGAAAGTCTTCTAAGAGGTCATACAATACAAAGGTTGAATCTCTAGCACCAATTTTTTTTCTCCTTTTACATTTGATATCATGTACATCAGAAAATATCAGGGTAAATCCTGATTACTGTAGGGTCTGTAAGGCAAGTTCAATTATCTAGGTTGAGCTGTCTGAGAAATGGAAATCCCTAGAAGATTTTACCTTCCCACAGTTAGGAAGGTAAAGCTGCTGTAGTTTCTCTTAGAAATAGGGTTCTTCAGGATTTATTTTCCTGCAAAGCTGAGGTCCCCTAAAAAATTGTATTCAGCTTTGCAGAGTTAAATCAAACAGTTTGCAGCAGTAAATCAGACAGTTTGCAGCAGTGACTTTTAAACCATAGTCTGTGAACCACAGGATCTGTAGAAAGCTTTTATAAGGAAGGACTGTGTAAAAATTTTTGAAATTAACAGGATTTTACTTAAATTTAAAAATAATCACAGACATTACATATATAAGCTAGCAAAAAAATGCAAGTCCTTAATGGGCAGTGTAAAGATACAGAGGAGAATGGAGGCACTTCAGAATCAGGCCTCCTCTTATGAAGTGTCCAGTTTTACAGAGCGAAGGTTTACATTTATGTATATGACTTTGTTTTATAGAATCATAGAATCATAGAATAGTTAGGGTTGGAAAGGACATTAAGATCATTTAGTTCCAACCCCCCTGCCATGGGCAGGGACACCTCACACAAGACCATGTCACCTAAGGCTTCGTCCAACCTGGACTTCTACACTGCCAGGGATGGAGCACTCACAACCTCCCTAGGCAGCCCATTCCAGTCCCTCACCACCCTAACAGGAAAGAATTTCCTCCTTATATCCAATCTAAACTTCCCCTGTTTAAGTCTGAACCCATTAACCCCTTGTCCTGTCACTACAGTCCCTAATGAAGAGTCCCTCCCCAGCATCTTTATAAGCCCCCTTCAGATACTGGAAGGCTGCTATGAGGTGTCCACACAGCCTTCCCTTCTCCAGGCTGAACAGTCCCAACTTTCTCAGCCTGTCTTCATACGGGATGTGATCCAGCCTCGTGATCATCCTCGTGGCCCTCCTCTGGACTTGTGTCAACAGTTCCATGTCCTTTCTATGTTGAGGACACCAGAACTGCACACAATACTCCAAGTGAGGTCTCACAAGAGCAGGGGGGCAGGATCACCTCCTTTGACCTGATGGTCACACTCCTTTTGATGCAGCCCAGGATACGGTTGGCTTTCTGAAGCCAGCTCATCTTCATTTTCTCACCGACAAACACCCCCAAGTCCTTCTCCACTGGGCTGCTCTTTAGGCCCCCTGTCTGCTGAGGATCATACTTTCTGAAGAAGGTAAGTTGACTCTACCCACCATAGCTTTAAGTTTTAGTTCCAGCTGGTGTATGCTAGTAATCCTGAGACACCAAATCATCTTCTGATTATATTGTAGTTAACTTCAGTTGTATAAATCCAAACATTAGCTGGATACTATAAATAGGCAGGATGTGCAAGGAGGCCAAGTTGAAAATGTGCAGGAACTGCGCCTTTTTTCTTTAATGTATCCCTGAAGTTGTGCTACGTTTCATCATGTGTAATATTTTTTGTCTGAAAAGGAAACAATATGGATGTGCTTTGTGGCCGTAGTAATTAACTGGACATAATAAAATGTTGAATGTCACACTTTGTAGACATGTATGGGGGAGAATGGGTAAGTTTTTCTCAAGTTTCCTTGCATTTAAGTGCTTTCTTGGAGGTAGTTTTTTGCAAGATTGGGTAGAGAGCAGAAATACATCTGGTTTATATTATATGATGGCTGTACTTTGGCAATGGGAAAAGATGGCACTTAAAAAAAGTGAAGAAGAATAAAAAGAGGAAAGCTTGGCAACTACAGAATGGAGGAACAATTACAAGAACCATCTTAAAGTTCCCAGGATTTGTAATTTCTTTTTCCACGCATGCATTTTTCTGATATTGCTGGTGTTAAAAGAATGAGACAGAGGAAATTCAGTAGGATTTTAGAAAGTATAGTTATCTCCATGAAACAATCTCCTTTATTCAGGTTGCCCCCACAGCAGCTGCTGTGATTCAACATGTGGGTGGTAGCAAAAGGGATAGGAAGCAGGACGCGTATGTTGACTTTAAAAGAAACGGTTGATCACCATTTTTTTTTTGTTGTTTTCTTCACCCAGTAGCCAGAAAGTAATGAAGGTGTTCTCCCCCTTAACTGTAATTTTTCTATGGGTATAAGACAGAAGCAAAATTAATGGAGTGTTATTCGGAGACAGAGCTATGTGCGGCATCTTTGTGGTGGGACAGGGGAAAAGTTATTCAAGCAATGCAACAATACCTACTGATGTATCACATACTGTGGTTTACATTTGTTCTTTTTTTAATATATTCACCCATCAACTACTCTTTTTTATCCCCCCCCCCCCCAATGTCAGGTGATCCCAAAGTACAAAGAGTTGAAACTCTACTCATGTGGTAGACATTTACATATTTGAATAAAGTTAATGGGAGCCGAGGACACTGAGCATCTGTCTATTTTTGAACAAGACTACGGGGTGTGACATGTGAGCACCTTCCAAGACTGTAGTAAGTGATGCATCCCCTGGGGCTGCCTTTCACATACTCTCATTTGGAGATCATAATACTTCAGCCTTTGCAGGGCGGGGGCTGGAAACGTTGGGAATCATACCTTCCCTGCAACAGTGTCTGAGCTATATGACTGTACCTCCAGGTTGTTCAGCAGCTTAGCTGACTTGAAATAGAGCACTGGAACAAAATATGCTCTGAGTGATTTTTAAGTAAAAGCTAATGTGAGAATGTGGAAGTTTGAACCAATGAAAACACGTTAAATTTAAAATGATTTTCAAATGTACTAAAGAAAAAAATAGTGTTCCTGCTCTTGAAATTCCTAAAGGACACATTTTTCCCTCTGAGTCACGATTTAATTAGATTATATTTTATTAGACATTCTTTACAAATTTTAAAATATTGCTATTATACATGCACAAAGGAAAATCAATTTGAACAATTGTATGTAGGCATTCATTGAAGTCAACCACAAAACAGGAACATTTTATGTCAGTTATCAATGTACTCGATATGTATATCTAAAGTGCATTATGTTACAAAAAATATAGAAAGTCAGCAGCACCAAGATATGTTCATAAAATAAATACACCGGTCAACAAAATAAATTATGGTAAATGTGACAATAATAATTGTCTTAGCCTTAGCCAAAAAGAAAAAAAAAAAAGAAAAAAAAAAGAAAAAAAAAAAAGGGGGGAAAATTCACAATAACCAAATGTGCAGTTTCAGAGAGCAACGGGGGGGAAAGGTTTTATTCTGAGCATTTACAATATTTACAGGTAATAAATATTTTAATACTTCCCATATGTTCACTATTACAGAATACTGCAATATGTCTTCCAAAAATCTCTTGCTGAAAATGTCAGCGCCTCCTGCAAAAAAAAAAAAAAAGGACAAAGAAACAGAAAATTTAATTTTCACTTCAGATACATGCACATAAAAATTAATATCAAGAGTGCCACAGACTACCATGGGTAAGCCCTGCTGGTACACATTTGAAATAACCAGGCCAGTTTTAGACATCTTTTGAAGACCTCTAGTAGATTTGCTTTAATACAACTCAGGTAGCGGTATGGAGACCTGCAGTTTGTCACAACAATGAGGCCATCTGCTACACTATATTGTACACCCAGAGAAATAGGAAAAGGTCTCAGTTTTCATTAGAGCCTTATGCAAGAAGATTCCTGAGTGCTACAGGTAGAAAAATCGCATCAACCTATAATAAATATGCCACGTGCTAAATGGAAAGAAAAATAATGGAAAAATACCCAAAATAAAACAAAAGAAAGAAATGAGAAATTTGTTTGGAAGATAAGAAGGAGACAGTCCCTACTGAACACTTTGGCAACCATGCCCCTGTTGTTAACCGCTTGGGTGATGTTAAGTTTATGATTAAAACAATGTCATGGGGCTTGTTTGGTCTATCTTTACCATGTAGAACACCTATTAGACAAGGGTCTGTTCATCTTAGAGGTATATATTTCTGTGGTGTCATGTACATGAGTGCATGCAGTACTCATGCAATAAAGGCAGCTCAGGTCTTAAAGTGACCAGACCCTTGACATCATCTCTTTAAACTCTTGCATGAGTGAAAAGATTATGAATCCTCAAAGTTTCCCTCTGTAAGCCAAAGAGCTTGGACCTGAAAGAAAAGAAGCATCTCCTAGTGTTAAGCTCTGACTGCCATTGCATTCAGTCCAAGTTGAAAGAGTCAGCTGTATACAGTCCAAAGCTTTGGGAGTTTTCTAAGGGATACTGGCAGCCTGGTATGAGATTTCTACTCTTCCCTTCCTTGTGAAGGCATGGGAACAAAAGCAGAGCCAGCTCCTACCCTGTTAGTGTGATACTTATACTACAATATTATTTTAAGTTACTTCTTAGTGGTGCCACAGGGGATGCTGAAGGGTTGGGCTTTTTTCCCTTCTTTCCCTGTGAACAGCACATTTCTGTAATGCATGTTTGTTCCCAGGGAAACAGCTATAGGGTAGAATACAAAGCTGTATAGGATGGAAATGGATTTGCCCTGTGGCTGGACAGATCACCAAAGCTGTGGGCAGGCGTGTGTGGGCGTGAGACACACAAAAAATGCAAATCCTTGAGAGTTTGTGGGGTTTTATGTGTGCATTGAAAGTGAGACTACATTTAATGTTAGGGAGTCTACTTGTTTGAAAGGTTTCTTAGGAAATTGGGTAAGAACAGCTTAATTGTATTGGAACGGGAATATAGCTGGAATGTCCCTGAGAAAGAATTTTTAAGTGCCTGGAATGGAAATACTATCATCATGAAGCTCCTTAGTAATTAATTGGTAATATTAGGGTGTATTCAGTCTATATTAGAATGTGTATAATAATAGCACACAATTCATACAGCATGACTGTATATGTGTGTCTTCACTACACAGATCTGTCTGTAAGAAGGTGACATTTTTAATTCGGCTTGGAGTTTAGGCTTTGTTTTAGAGTTTAAGCTAAGCCACATCTTGACAATGAGCTCCATACTAACCCCTACGTGTAAGATGCCTTCTGCGATTTGCAAGATTGGCTTCTTTTATGAGATATTTCCCGTAGTAAGTCAAAAGATCTAGAAAGTATTTTTGGTCTTTTTTCTGGCCTAAACCCAAAATTTTGAGATCAATATTGTGCGTAGGGAACTGGCATGAGGATTTTAATTCAGTGTGTTGAGTAGAAAAGCAGTACAAAGACACAGTGAAAAGCATGCTTAAGTGCTTAAGGTTTATCTTAGCACTTCCTTATTTATCCTGCTGCATTAGGCATATCCACTTCTTCACCATAAAGTAATGATGCTTCTCCTAAGCGGCAGCTAGACTTAGAGGTGCTTCAAAAGCAGTTGCTACTGGTGTAGCAAATGGAAACCCTGTCTGGGCACACCTTCCTCGCCCCCCACCAGCAGATAGAGTAGAAGTTCCTGGTTCAGCTCAGTACAGCTGAGGAACCAACCTCATTCAGATGTGGTCATGTCTCCATGAAAACGTGTTTGCCCACCTTCTGCCAGCAGCCACAGAGACAGCTGCATTCAACCTCTCTACCTCTATCTAAAGTACATGTCAGGGAGTTGAGACTTGTTTTCATTTAAATGTAGAAATTATATCTTTCGCCAGTTTCTTAAGAGCTGAACCAGATATTATGTATGCTCTGTCATTGTGAAGGAGAAATTCAGTTTTCCTGTTTTATGACTTCTCTTTGTTTAATCATCTTCAATTAAGTATCTAAAGTATAGGTCCTCTTTAGGAAGCTGTTTCTTGCCCTGGAGAAATATTGCATCTTGAGAAATAATTTCAGTAAGGTAAAACTGACTACCTTCAACCATCCAAATATACTTTTGAAATAGAAAGGCTGAGCAAGGAAAATCAACAGGGTTGTACCTATGGTGTCCAAACCAAAGACAGAGTAGTCAGAAAAAAATAACATTTTTTTCCTACAGTCAAGATTTCTATGTGCTGAAGACAGATGTTATTTATTGGCAACCACAGTTTTTTAACATCATTGAAAAGTCAGGTGTCTCCTGACCAGAGACCTGGAGCGTGCCTCTTAAGGCACTGAGACAAACCAGCCCTTCTTACTACACCACTAACTGCTACAGCCATGCTAACACATTTATGGTCCAAGACACTGAATGACTAACCCCAAAGGCTGGTGACTTCTGTATATCCCAGCAGAAGTTGAGGTGATGGAGCATGTTACTAACTGTGGCCTGTAAAGCTTAACCCAGGAGTGTAGGGTTTTTTTAGTAAATTCCACAGCTGGTGTCTCTTTCTAAGGGATTAACTGCGAGTGAGTGGCACTCCTCTTACATCTCTATTCTGCCAAAGGGGAGGAACAGAGAAAAGAGTGGGAAAATGAAAACATTTGGGGAGAACTGAGGGACAGACTCCTTGGATTTGACTGCAAGTGTGCAGACTTCCACTCAAGCAGAGATGACTGCAAGCAGATGAGTCACTTGAGGCACCTAGACTGAAGTCTTCGGCTCACCACTGCCCTAAAAACCCTTCATTGTCATACATGAGGGAAACACATCTCTCTCCAAAAGCAATGCTCAACATTTTTCAGCAGTAATGTAATCATTTCACAAGCTGGCAAAAAGATGGTGCTGAATTAAAAAATCCTAATGGCAGGGAAAATTTTATGGCTAAAGGCTGGTCTGCGTTGTTTGTAGATATTGCTAAGAGGGAAATTTTCCATGTTCTCCCCTAAGGTTAAGCAGTAAAATGAAAAACTGTAAAGTAAGGGTAGGAAATTTGCCAAAAAGGGGAGGCGCTGAGAGGGAGGAAAGAAAACTTCGCCATTTTATAGATGCAGAGCCTTAAATAATACTCAAAGCTTTCAATCTGCTGAGGCCCAAGTGTGGGACCAAGATCTGATGTGAGAGACACTAAAATTAAAACAGGAAAGGGAATTTTAATGGCTATGATGTGCTTTGGTTTTGCAGAAATTACCTACTACTAACTCAGCTTCAGGAGGTTCATTTTGACAATAAGTGTTTTACTTGAATTGTTTGTCATAGGAAAGGAAGACTTTGTCACAAATGTTAAGTGGGAAGGGTAGTTACCTTCAGAAAGCACCTTGAGACTGTGCATTGCTTGAAAAGCCATTGCTCACTTATGAGCAAAACAGGGTGCTATTACTCCAGTTACGAGTGAGGCCTTGGCCTCTCACACCAAAGGATAACAATTTCAGTAAATATATGGTATGCCCCCACAAAGATATAGCAGAATTACCTTAAATTGTGATTATGTGTAGTAACAGAGGTGTCCAAGAGTGGGCTCTCAGTCACGATGCTTCCATACATGCCAGAATTTAGCCAAGCCGAGCGGGCTCGCCTCTTTTTCTTCTCTTGTTCCTTGCGTTTTCCAGGTTTTGCTTTCTTTTTCTTCCCTGATACCTTCATGGGCTGCTCTTTGTAGGTCTGTGATTTGTTTGTCTCCTGAGTTAGGTATCTGCCCTCATCTTCACTACCAAATCGCACAGGGTAGTTCTTCGTGTTGGTAGCAGGCTTAGGGTTAGGTGAAACCTCTGAAGTTGCACGGATCTCTGCAGTGTTGACACCTTCAATTAAATTTTGAAGGAATATTCTTCTCCGTAAATCTTGGATTGACTTGCCCTTGTCATGCAATAGCTGGTGCTCTGATACAGCTCGTTTGCTAAAGAAAGAGAAGAGAGGAGGGGGAAAAAAAACTTTAGGATTTGGTTGTTGCCTAGTATTTGGCAGAGCTTCTCTCTCTTCTGGCAGTGGTGGGCACACTGTGAGTGACTGTATACCAGCTCTCAGGCTTGGAGACATCAAGTTAAGTCAGACTGCTGGAGCAAGTCCTGCTTCTCAGAGTAGCTACTCCCTGCAGAGAAGGGAAAGACCTAATCGGGTAATAATTCTCAGCTGACTGATCATACAGCAATGGACCTGGAGTTGGATTAGTCACTGTTCTGTTCTAGGAAAGCATTACAACTCTTAATATATCACACTTCAGGCAGTAAAAGCAGGAAGGCAGTTGTCAGAGATAGGAAAACCAAAGGGTCAGATAATGGAGCACTGCAGTCAAGCAAGACGGGGTATAACAAGTACTTGTACTGAAACCGGAAGCAGTGTTTATACAGCATCATTCTAATAATTTTCCTCTGTTCAGTCATGTACTTCAAAAACATAAATAAGTGCATAAAAGTGTAATTCATTTCTAAATTTAAATAAGCGCAATTGCAGGAGTGTAATGGAAAAATGTTTGAATTTGGGTGCCTGAAACATAGGCACTTCAGTCCATAATGAGCTAACCAGAGAGGCAGCCTGAGCATCAGCAGGGAAGAGCCTCAGCCACTCCTGTTGAATTTACTGCTTGGCCACTTCTGTCTAATTATGGGTTTGATGCCTTTCTAGTATTCTTTTAAGTGTCAACTTTTGGGGCCAGTTTTCTTGCCTGCTGTGCTCTCTGAATTTTACTCTAGCTCTCTTCACTGGATCTTCTTCAAGAGCATCCTAGTTTGTTTGAGTGGGTCTCTGGTGCTTTTCCGGAGTTTGTGACCTTTTGGTTCACTAACCTTTGTCTTTGGGTGATGGTTTAGCTATCTGTCTTTCAGAGATTTCAGCGCTTGTCTACTGGCAAAGAATGTATGAAACATCTGAGGAAATAAGATACAAGTGGCACCTGGATAATAAATAACCATGATAAAATACATGCTGTTGCCTTGATGTGGAATAGACACACAGCTGCACTGTGAACTACAGAAAGAGCACAGGCTGGGATTTCAGCTCTGTTCCCATGAATGCTGTAATACAGTTTCTCCTTCCAATTGCCGTAGTTCAGTGTGCAGAGATTGGCTATGTATCCTCTCATATTGCATCAGGGTACTCCATGTGACTGGATTATTACTGGCCAAAGAAAATGAATTCACAGCCTTGCCTGTCATATAATGATTTGGTCAGTTAGCTGGATAAAAATTTGTTTCTACATGTGGGTGAAATCGGAGAAGATGCATAACTGTGAGTGAATATTTCTTCCTTGCGTCCCATCCCTAATTACCTTGCTATGTTACCAGGTTGCAAAATGTGGTGAACAAAGAGGGCATGCTAAACAATTGGTAGTGTTCTGCAACTTACGTTTCTCAGTCCCTTCAGCCAAATTCTTTAGACTGTGATTTGATCAACAAACTACCTGAAACTGGCAACTTCAAGTTGCATTAGTTTACGAGCACACCTGCCACTTTTTGTCTTTGCAGAGCTTCACTTTTTGACTATTGGGTTCAAGTGGTGGGTTCAAGTGACACTACATCACTCTTACTCAGTAAAATTCAAACAGCAGCTTTCCCCCATTCCACGAGACTGAAAGATGGCTGCTAGTTTTGCATGAAGTCATACAGCAGGGATATCTGCTCAAAAGCAGGCCTAGATATACTTGAGCTTGTGAGCAAACATTGTCTCTGTTTTAAACATCCCAAAATCAGTTTTGGATGACTTCAGGCTTTAGGGCAAATATTTTGTGCCCTTCAACTCAATGTCCCAAAGCAAAAATGCAATGTGATAATACTGAGCTGAACCCATATTGTTTCTTTCTCTTTAGTGCAGCTGTGACCATTAACACAAGCTAAAAATCTCCCCCAGGAAAAACTTTTGTGCAGTGCATTCCCAGAAGCTCTCTAATAGCCATCTCTAACAGTCTTCTCATTAAGGTCAGTCTGATTTGCAAGTGCGCTAATAAAACTAGCACCTTGGACTCCTCTGAGTGGCATACTTCTGTGGCTGTCCTTTGTGGCTCACGTTACATTCTTAGCTTCAGTAATCTGTTTTTCCAGGATATTTGTGTGGGAAATGCAGTTCTCCTTTTACTCTTCTAGTTTATAAAAAGCACACAAAATCTCAGTGCTTTACTGACTCTAAAACAGTATGCATGTCTTATGTGATGAGCAAAGCTTTCCTACTGCCTCTTGTAAAGTACCAAGGATAATTCCTTTTATCACAGACAACCTAAAGCTGCCTTAATCCTGTAATGTGTATTTGGTCAATTTACCCACTGTGACAAAATCTTGAATCTCTAAAGCCCATTATTAAAGTACTCCTGATTGAAAAGCTATTCCATTTTACAGAGCTGAAACCTAAAGATTTGGTTCCAGTACACACAAGACAGTCAAAGAGCATTACAAGATCTACATCTTGATGGAGTATGCCTTTCCAAAATAATGCAGGGATTGATACGTGAGGAGTTAGTGTGCCAAAAAGGGTGGGTTTCTGTTTAAATGTCTGCATGATATTTAGCATCAAGTCTGGCCCCAAATAACATTCTGCCATTCCAGATGATTGTATAACATTACATAGTGTTACATTTCACATGACTTTTATTACTCAGCTGGACTTAAGGATTACATTTTGCCTATCAATTTTCTTTGTATGCTCTAGATCAGAAATCTCTTTAAAACAAAGAAGATGTGGTAGATATATACCTCTTTAACCTTCTGCCTCCTTCTGCCTCAATTATTCAAACAAATCCTGTGTTTGCAAATCAAGGAGAAGGCTGATGTAAGAATTGCTTCATGGTAGAGATATCAACGGTATCTCACCCACACACTCAGAGTAGGAAAGCAATGAAAACTGGAAAGATTGCATTCACATCTTGGGTATGATACGTAAGAAAGTCTTAGGCTGTCAGGGTTAAGATGACCCACTAGAGGTCCCTTCCACCCTGCTGCAAAAGGTACCTCTCATTCAGGGAAAAAGTCTGTACCCAAACCACATGCAGTAAATGCTAAGCTAACATGCAGTAGGCACTTTTGAGAGAAAGATGTTGGTTTGTATTTGACCAGAGCATCCAAACAAGTTGCTGTATGCAAGTACTATGCACATACAAGACTTGATGTCTCATTATGTGGAAAACAGTAGAAATCCATGACTTGTGGCTGTCCTGACTTCATGTACTTCCAGATAAGCTGTTCTTTTCAGGCACATTCCTTCTTCATTTTTTACCCTAGATATCTAGCGTCACTGAGAAGCAACATTCTTCAAGCAACAACTTTATGTTTCAGAGAGTTGCTCTTATTTAGCTGTTGTTATCCTTGAGCATTCACATTGCTGCTCATCATAAGTTTAACAAAATAACTAGAGAGGATTCAGTCAGCTCTGGATTTTGCAAGACTGAGTGCTCTTGCCACTGGCTCCAGAGGGAGTGAAAACTGCTCAATCTGTCTCAGGGTTAGGAAAAATATTTTGAACAGATCTGGGGACATGATGCTGCAGTGTCTGGACATGCTGATAAAAATATCTAATTTCACTTTGAGGCATTACTGGGTTTCTCAGAAGTTTTTTAGCAACTAAATCATTTCTATTACAAATAATATGTCTGGCAATCTGTTCTCGGGACAATTTGCTGCTGTTTTCCATGGGAGATTTGCCTCAGTAAAGTCCGTAGAACCAGGCCTATGTCATTTTGATTATTTTTGCATGGGTCTAATGATGTGCTTCAGTATTTTCATCCATTACTGGTTTAAACCTTTTACTGAAAAAAATATCTCTAGGCTTAAGTGAGTTATTAACCATTAACTCTAGGAATGGTTTGTGGTGATATTAAAACAGGACACATGTTTGAGTGTGGTGTCTGTGTTTGTGCTGTACCCACAAACAAAACTACGTGAATGCCACTAACTGACAGCTAACTGGTTTCTTGTGTGTGTTTTACATGCCATAGCAAAGAGGGAGCTGAGAAATGCATTTTGACTACTTAGCTTCCACTTTTCTTCCCCCTGTCAGAACGGAATGGGGATGTTGGAAAGACCTCTGATCCTGACCTTTAAAAACAAGTGTTAAGAAAACACCAGCTTAAACAGGGGAGAGTATTTCTTAGCAAATATAACTTCTTTAAAATACAAATTTGGCTCAGATCCAGCTCAGAGTTCCCTAGCCAAGAAAATAACAGCATTTGACTGTACTTCAGTTATTTTCAGATAACTGTACTGCAGATTTTTTATTTCTGAAACTGAGATTTGTTTTCTCTGTATTCAGAGAGAGGAAAATGGTTGCAAATGAAAGAAATAGCTGAACAATAGTTTGAAAAAGTACAAAACAGCTCAGCATTAATGGACTGGGAAGAATACACTGTAGCACTATCAGCAATAACATGTTCTACACAATTTGCTGTAGGAGATTTGTAATAGCTGTCTGCCTGGTGCCAAAGCTTAGGTGTGTCTGTAGTCACTTCACCTGGGGGATTTTCTTTGTTGCTTAAATGGCAGAGGAAGTGCTATTTGGAGATCTTGTCCTTATGTATGTAATAAAACATTTACAAGGAAACCAATCTGAAATCGTTTGCTGTGTCATGTTTCCCTATAAGTTGTGATTGGATTTTCCAGCCTTCTTTTCCCATCCTGACTTCCTTTTGAACTTAGTGACAGTACAGCCCTCCACGCAGTATGACTGAGGTGTTTCTTCCTTAGAAAATCTGATGCAAGTCCAGTGAAAGCCAGTGAGTTAGATGTGTGAGACAGCTGCTCCTACATCAGCCCAGTGGCTTCTCCTCTGCACTTTGCGTAGGGGTATTAGTATAAACCATGCTGATTATTTTGGAAGGAGCAACGAGGTCATTTCCTGAACAGTCTTTCTTAGGTTACATTATCATTTATCAAAAAATATGCTTCTGCCTCCAAGATACTGGACTCCCTTTGGATTATTTTTTTATTTTTATTTTTTTCTTCCCTGAATTCAGTGGCAGAAATCCAAAGAAGTTGCTCAGTACTTCACTTTCATGACAGCCCTCACTACCGTGTGTCTCTTCTACCCTTATCGATATTGGCTCCATGCCAGTGTCAAAGAAGTATATGTTATTTAGTGTAACATGCAGCACTTTGATGAAACAGGATTCACCCTACCAGGACCCTCCCGGGGTGCAGAAAGATGCACGGGCAACAGCACATGCTGGACAAACACATAGCTGCCTTGCTGCTCCCCTCGGAAGAAGAGACCCTCAGCTCTCATACCTCCTTCCCAAAAGCTCTATCGTCTTCTTCCCAAACGCTTTATAAGGCCGGCCAGCTGAAAAGCGCCCTTTCCCTGCCCCAAATGCTCTCTGCCTATCCGCTAGAGGCCACTAGGCAGCACCTGGGTTACCTGGGGCAGGTAACCCGCAGCCGCTCCGCTGCAGAGCGCTGCTGGTGTTGCAAAGCCTGCGGGGCTGCGTCCCCTCCCCACCCGCACCGCCACCCAAAAAGGGAAAAAAACACAAGAGAAACTCACAGTCTGCGGCTGATCCCCTCAACTGATCTCCCGTGAGAGGGCACGGAATAACTCAGCAGAAACACCGCGAAACTCCACTGCTGGAAGAGTTTAGTGAACATTGTATCCTCCGGGTCTTAAAACCTGCAAGGAAAGGGAGGTCAGTCCCGAGGGATCTGGGCGCCACCGCCGTCCTCAAGCGCTCCCCGCTTTCGGCTCCACCAGCTCTGAGGCTGTGAAGGAAAAACAAACTTGCGGAGCTCTCGGCTGCGGCTCACTTCTTCCAAACTTCTCTCCGTCGCTCTCCCTTCCCTGCTGTCTGTCTCTCCCTCCCTCCTTCCCTCCCTCCCTCCTTCTCTGTGTCTCGCTGCCCGGAGGCAAGACTTTCTCAATATTAGTTAAAGAATCATCTAGCTCCTTTTTGACTCGGGTTTAGAGAGCGCGTCTATTTATCTCCTTGAGCCCTGATCAGTTCTAGTCCTCTAAGCCGCTGTCTCAGGGATTTATGTTACAGGAGAAGCCCTCTTTGCAGATAAGGAGAGATTCTTCAAAGTCAGCTCAGCTCCCCTCTGCTCTGCAAACACACGCACGGACACACACACACACAGACGAACGCAGATTCGAGGGCAGAGGGGCGGGGGGATGCATCTATACATCTGTCTTTAAGTATACCTTTGCTTAAAAAAAAAAAGAAAAAGTCAGGTTCACGTCCTCAGTCAGCTTCCGGAAAGTTTGGTCCACGAGTGTGGCGGGGACAGGGAATTCAAGGAAAGAGCGCTGCCTAGCTGGAGAGCCAGAGAGGTCTAGGCGGAGCGGCAGCCCGGGCAGGCTCGGGGGCTGGGAAGCATGCTTGGCTCTGCAGGTTGGACTGTGCTGGAGCCTGCAATGTTCACACGCTCCGAAGCAGCCTCTGGGAGACCTGCGGGAGGACGGAGGGTTTTGCAAAGAGATGGCGCCCTAGGAACATGTGCGGAGAGAGAGAGAGCCCGGCCGGGATACCCACAGCCAAAGAGGAGAAGAGAGATCAGCGCTTCCCAGGACCGGAATCAAAAAGGAGCTAAGAAGGGGGGACATCCAACAGCGCACGCAGTCAGTAGACTCTGAGGACTCCAGCCAAGTTCTTCGCATCTTCTGCAACCGAGCTCCTATCTCTTTCTGTGTGTCTCCCCCCTCCCTCTACACCTCTGTTTTCGTGTTTAGCTCTAGGTCACCACCTCCCCTGCCGCAGCACAGTGCAGAGGGCCATCCCATCAGTGGGGACACTTTCTAGATCAAGCCCAAATGCCCAGCCTGGGGTCGTTGCCGCCTCTCCTTTCACGCACTTACCGTTGTTGGTCGCGGTTCCCCTATTAGCTGGAGGGCTGATTCCTAATGATGTTAATTGTACGCTAGTAAAGGGGGGGCTGAGGGGGAGGGCTGGGGGAAGGACTCGTAGTCTATGAACACAAGCGGTTCTGGCCAAAAAAGCAAATTAGTGGAAAGTTTTCTCCTCCTCTCCCTCTTTCGCCTTCCCCTTTGCCCTTCGCCAATCCGGCCAGGGCGTTGCAGGTACCTGTGTCTGGTTGCGCTACCGTGTGAGGCGAACAGCTACAGGGGACCCGCCGGGGACAAACTGCTCCGCCTGAAGACCCTGACCACCACCCCCCCCCCCACCCCCCCCGCCCGCCCGCGGCGGGACTGAATTCTTTCATCACGGGAAAACACTTATGTAAAAACCAAAGGTAACACAATCCGCCCCTTTATACAACTCGCTTGCGACAGAAAGTGCCCTCGGCTATTACGAAGTAAGGTACAGGGGGAAAACATGGTAGGGGGTTTAGAGGGGTGGTCCAAAGGGAACCACTTTGTTCCAAAAGGAGCCACTTTGGAAGCCAACCTGTTCGGCTGCAGGAGGTCTCCCCGCAGGCTGTGCGCAGGCGGGCAACAGCGAACGCCTGGGGCCGCCGACTCCGTCCCGGCAGCATCCAGGCACCACTCAGCCATTCCCGGCCGTGCACCCTCCGCGGGGCTCCGCGCCCCACTGAAACCTGCCCGGAGAGACCTGTCCGCCGACACCGGTGCTGCCCCCAGGAACGGAGGGTAGCTGGCTTATGCCACCGGCAGCCTGATTTACAGCAAAATGCCTGTCCAACACCCTCGCAAACCGCATCAAATCTCTGAGGTCTGCCGGCCGGTTGCTCTTTCTCATCCTCTCCCCGTACTAAGGAACGCTTTCTGGCAAAAGTTCAGGTGCAGAGCAAACCATTGTTCTCCCTGCAGGTTATTTCACGTTAAAAGGCACTTGCTGCCACGATTTCTAAGTCCAGCTCCTTAGCCAAATTTCATACCGCACCCTCAAATAAAAACGACTACATGAGAGCTGGAATAGAAATCATGCTGAAGATATTAAATCGTTTATGCTGTAAATAAATTCCATGAACACCTGGTAGGCTATAAATTGAAATGTATGGCTAATAGGCTTCTTTGATTTACACTGCCCTTTCGACTAATTAAAGATAATTGTAAGATCCCCTGAAAAGAGCCCCCACACATTCATAAGTCTATTGCTCATGATCAAAGTAAAACGTCCGTCAAATATTTTTAGAATATCCTTTCCCCTATAAATAATAATAATAGTAAAAAATAATAAAAAGAAACAACCAACCACCCCAACCGTTAAAGCCTCAGGAAAAATAAATAGCCTTTTAAAACTTGGAATACTGAAGTTTCTTCATAATTTATTACTTCACCTTTTCCTTGAGTTACAGCCCTCTGTGCCTCCCAGAGATCACCCTGGCCAACAGTGGTTGATCTTCTCAGCAATCGCTTCCAAAACTATGTTTTATGCTTAAGAAAAAGAAAAAAAAAAAAAAAGGGGGGGAAGTTTAAATAAATAAAAAAAAAGAAAGAAAAAAAAAAGAAAAATACTTTTCAAAAGGAATCCAGCCCTACAGAGCTTTTATTCTGCCTGCAACAGATTAGTGCTAAGTAAAGGGTGCTAAAAGCAGGTGCTTTTCTCCCTTGCTGCTCTTTTTATTATGAAGAACAGAAGCTTCTCCTAATATATATAGTGAGGGAGACCCTTCTTTATTGCTTTTATTGAAAAGACCAAACTTGTGACATCACTAACCACCTTCCTATGGCTGAGTTTGCCTCATCTCTGCCTCAGTGGGCTTGGAAAAAAAAGAGAGAGAGAAAAAAAAAAAAACCTACATTCCAACCATGGCTTTGCTAGTATGGCAGAAACTGAGCAGTGCCAAACTTGTTTAGGACACTTACTATCACACCATGATACCGTGAGCACACCTCCCCCTCCCCTTCTCCTTCCCCCTTCCTCCCCCCCCCCCAAAAGCTCTTTCTCATCTACAACAACCGGCACAGCGCTTTTTCTCCTGCCACCTACACAAATGCTTAACCCGTGAGCAAACTCCTCCTGGTACCTAGCTTCACCGCAAGCCCGAGTCCTCCTCCGTGGCAGGACAGGGTGAAAAGTACCCTCTGCCGGGGTTTAAATCTGTGTTTCCCTCGCAGGATGGAAGCTGGGGAGGGGGATGTGCACCCAGGGAAGCGGCTACCGGGGACTGACCCCCTCTACCTGCAGCGTATCACCCCGCCGGCCCCAGCTGCTCTTTCCTGCTACCTCCGGGTGTCTCCTGACCCCGGGGAGAGCGGAGAGAGGATGATGCTGAACGAGAGGAAGAACCCAGGAGAGATGCTTTGGCGCAGGTTTTGGGACAGGAATCGCACCTACACCAAAGCATCTCCCTGCGCATGGATCACCCCAGGCACGGCTGTCCCCGTGTTTAGGAGCGAGGGAAAGCCGTAGTTTTGTTCTGGTTTCACCTGCCGGGGTCTCGGTTACTGCAGGGCTCCTCGCCAAGGCGATGCTCTTGCGGCGGCTGCTTATTTTTCCAGCCGGGAAGCACGGAGGGAGCCGTGAGGTAAGGGCAAACCCCTGTGTTTGCCTTTCTGGTCAAGCCCTGCCTGCCGCGACAAGGCAAACCTTATCATTTTAGGTTTTCTGCTTTCCTTTTCTCCCGTCTTCCCGCCTCAAAGACAATAAGATTTTGGAAAGATGCCGCAATTGGCTTCTGCTTCTTTTTTCCATACGTATAAACAGGCATAAATCAGCTTTCCTACGAGGAAGCTGACCTGGGAGTTTGGCTAGGAAGATAAGTCCCTGTTCCAGGTCTGGCACGTAATTCCTGAGCAAGGAATAGGGCCAGGGGCTGCGGGCGGGTGTGTGACCAGACTCCCCCCGGGAGCGAAACCTTCCCCTGAAACAAGAGAAGACAAGTGGGTCAGGTTTAGCTAACTGGGGAGGAGGTGCCAGTGCAGCCTCAGAGATTCAGAAGGAATTAATGACTAACCCTCCTGCCCGGTGCCCAGAGACAGGCTAAATCCTCCTCTCTCCAAACTTCCCATCCTTCACCTCTGTGAAGTTCCGCCTCTCCCTCCTCCCTCTTGTTCTATTCACAATAAAGCATTTTCGTCATTTCCCCTCCCGGATTTCTATAACCTCAGTTGCACTCGTCCAGGGCTCCGGTTCAGACGGGGAGTTCAACCTCCCCAGTCTTCCCAGGGTGGAAAAAATGGTGTTCAGCAAAAAAAAAAAAAAAAAAAAAAACACACAGGCGTGCTGATTGCTTTGGAGTGAGGCTGGCGGGGAAGGGAAGGGAGCGGCAACACAGAGATTGCCGGTTTTGTCCTGCGAGGACCCCAGATTCCCGGAGACTCGCACAAACCGTGTGATCCCGTGGGGTTCAATGCCAGTGACAGCGGCTCTCTGCAGGCGAGGTGCGAAGTCCCAGCTGTTTTTTTTTGGGGAATTTTAGGTTATTATTTTTCCCCCCCTTTTTTTTTTTTTTCCCGAAGCTCCCAGGGTGGTCTTGAGAGCAAGGCTGTTATGCAGCTAGTAGAAATGCGATTGCTTACAGATTTAGGCAGGCTTTCCAGCAAGTACTCATTCTTGCCCACAACCTTGCACTTTGCTGTACCCAGTTCTCACAAGGTTGCCTTCCTCCCCTCTGCTCTCCCAGGGCTGTCAGGGGTGAGAAACTATCCAGTCCACATCTGACATGGTGTAACCTTCCAATTGGGTGAAAAGATTGTTTGAAAGAGAAACCCGTTTTTTTCCCCCTCCCCATCAGCAAGACCCAGACGTTTCGAAGCACTCTATCTGCACACACTAATCTCCTTTATTAAACAATGATAGAGTAGCTGCACAGAGCTGCCCCTCCCACCCAGCTATTGACACACTGCGAAGTTTACTTAGACAATATGAATTTAATTTATGCACTCGATAAAGCATAAAGGGGGGGGGGGGAATACCGAAGAGGCTGTGTAGAGCAGCAGAGAGCTGTGCCAAATCTTTTGTCTGGTTCCTAGAATCCAGTAGACACCGAAAGGAGTAATTTTCGAATTTGAGGGCGGAGAGTCAGTTATTAATTCATAAAGCCTGTCCTTACTATCTATAGCCCAGCGGTGCCGGCGGCTGGCACCCCGCGGCGGAGCAGCAGGCCAGCCTGGACCCCGTTCAGCGGGCTGAGGCGGGGCCTGTGAGCTGTCCATGGTGGTGCGGGCTCGGCCTTCCGCTCCGGCCAACCGACCCACACGCGGACAGGCGGCCCCGGCTGGGTGAGGAGTGGGGGCCCCGGATGACACGTCCCGTGTTACTGTCTCGCTGTCCCTGCTTTCTCGCTAAGGTATCTATGTAATTTCTACTTGTAAAGCCCCTACTTGAATCTTCACCTGCAGGGAGGTAACCTGCAAGAAACAGGCAGCTGTTTCAGACCCCTGATGGAGGGAGACTTCCAAATGCATGACCTCCCCAAGGATCATGGCATTTCAAGTGCTAGTAGTAACCATGTTTTCCATGATTCATGTATTTTCACTAAGTGCTCTGAAACCTTTAGGTGTTAAGCTTTCTCTCTCTAGTTCTGGTCTTCACTTCAGTTTTAAATTTCTCTTAACATAGGTTGGGCTGTTTTGTTTCATTTTTTTTATTGAATATCTACTAAATACAAACAGGAACAAATGTGTCTGGTCTATTCAACTTAAACAAAACTATTACCAAACTGGGCTGGCTTGAAAACAAGAATTCATTTAAAGGGGGGGGGTGGGGGGGGGAGGAGAGAGAGAGGAGGGGGAAGGGCGGGGAAAGCTTTACAGTTTGTTTTTGCACTATGTTGAAACAAAATCCAGCCTTTTAGACATTTTTCTGAGAGAAGGCAGACTCACCTCCTGCCTTGGAATAGCTTAGTGGTTAGTGTACTCATCTGGGATGTGGGACACCAGAGTTCAAGTCCTTTCCTTCTCTGATTCAGAGTGCTAATCCCTGAACAGTTGGCTTCTCTCAGTTCCATCCCAGACAGAAAAACCTTTCTGATTACATTTGTAATGAATTGGTATTTTCC